GTTGCTTATGTGGGATTTAAATCGACAAACCTATCAAAGATAACTCAAGATTCCTGACAGTGGCACTAGAGGCCAAGGTTAATGCCATCAGGAGTAGCTATATCTTTAGACAGTGAGTCTCTAAGGTGTTTGGCCAAGTACAAGAATTTCGTTTTTTTTCTGAGTTTAACATCAGAAAATTGCAGCTCATCCAGGATTTTTATGTCCTTAAGACATCTTTGTAATTAGATAATTGATTAATTGGCTTGATTGATAGGATATTAACTGCGTATCATCTGCATAGCAATGAAAGTTGAATGTAGTGATTCCTTAATAATGTTGCCTAAAGGGACATATATAAAGTAAATATATTGGTCCCAAAGTACAGAACCTATGTGGAACTCCATGACTAACTGTTAGTATTTATTGAATTTCATTGTTAACATGTACAATGTGAATCGATCTGAATTAAATATGACTTTAAACCAGCTTTAGGCGGTTCCTTAATGCCAATTTGATTGCTCAAGTCTCTGTAAAAGAATATTATGTCAATGGTGTCAATAGCAGCACTAAGATCTAATAATACAACTACAGAGACAAGTCCATTGTTCGGAAGCAATCAGAAGTATTATTAACTTTAACCAGAGCTGTTCTCTGTGCCGTGATGAACTCTAAATCCTGACTGAAAATCCTCATATTTAAATTATTGCATGTAAAAAGCACACAACTCTTTGCGACTACTTTTTCCAGAATCTTAGAGGAGGAAGGGGAGGTAGAAATCGGTCATAGTTGGCTAAAACCCCTGGGTCAAGAGTGGCTTTTTAAGAAAGGTGTTTAATTACCCAGCTACTTTAAAGGACTGTGGTACATATCCTGACAATAAAGAAAGATTAACAATCTAGAAAGAAAGTGCTGATTAAGGGTACGACTTCTTTAAGCAGCCTAGTTAGGATGGACAAACAAGCACTGGTTCTAGGTAGGACCATATATTTTTGACGACTTTTGGGTCTACCGAGTTTCTCTTACACCGTAGTATCTTGGAAGATGGAGCGGTATCAAGTTTGTCCCAGTCTGCTACTTTCACCACTAGGATGCCACTTAATCCTACACACTGGCCCTTTTTTAAAATAACCCCACAAATGGTCACAAAATGAGACTTAAGGGTGGCCCAGTCTGGAGCTGTGGATATATTTTTTTAAACACATTCTGTATTAAATCGGTGCCCGGTATTGGCTGAAATGTAGGTATCAATTCAATTCAATTCAATTCAATTTTATTTGTATAGGCACCAATTCATAAACAGAGTTATCTCATGACACTTTTCAAATAGAGCAGGTTCTAGACCGTACTCCTTATAACATTTACAGAGACCAACAGTACCACCATGAGCAAGCACTTGGCGATGGGGCAAAGGAAAAACTGCCTTTAACGGGCAGAACCTCGACAGACCTTCGGCTCTAGGTGGGTGGTCATCTGCCTTGACCAGTTGGGGGGAGAGAAGAGAGAAGAGAGAGACAGAGAGCAGAGAGACAAACAATGTAAGATATATCAGAATCAGAAGGAAAAATGTATCAGAACATGTCAGAAGGAAAACACCAGGCCAGTGCTGTTCTGAGTTAGAGCTACTGAGGGGATTTCCTGCTGCTTTCAGTCCTCAGCTGGTGTGCCACACTTTGACTGTATCAGTTGTAGAGCAGTAACAGGTTCGCAGGTTCTCATGGATCCTGGTGGAGCCTCCTGCCATGGTCCTGCTTGACTGCCATTGTGCTAATATCACTGATATTATTGTTATTATTATTATTATAAGTATTATTAATGCTGATCATCATCAGTCACTACTATTAGTGTAGTTGCTACTGCTACTGCTGTTGCTGTGCATCTGCTCTCTCTCTCTCTCTCTCTCTCTCTCTCTCTCTCTCTCTCTCTCTCTCCTCTCTCTCTCTTTCTCACCCACCCCAACTGGTCGAGGCAGACGACCCCCACCTACAGCCGAAGGGGTCTGTCCTAGGTTTCTGCCTGTTAAAAGGCAGTTTTTCCTTGCCCCCGTCGCCAAGGTCTTGCTCATGGTGGTACTGTTGGGTCTCTGTAAATGTTAAAAGGAGTTCGGTCTAGACCTGCTCTATTTAAAAGTGTCCTGAGATAACTTCTGTTATGAATTGGCGCTATACAAATAAAATTTAATTGTTGAATTGAATAACAGGAAGACAAAATCATGAAAACAATACATTCTTGTGACCAGTGTTGGACGTTCATTCCAGCCGCTGCAACTATTGTGTCCACTGTATTCAACTCTGTAACTGAGCTTGTTCTTAATACAAAGTGATAGTGTTGTTATTTAATCACATCTTTGTATTTTGGCTGTAGGTTTTGATTCCCAAAATTCTGGGCGTGGATGTCCCGCAGGACAAGCTGGACGGTGCCCTGGAGGATCTGAATGGCTCACTGAAACTCATGGAAGAAAAGTTCATCCAGGACAAGCCCTTCATTGCAGGAGATCAGATCTCTCTGGCCGACCTGGTCGCCATTGTGGAAATCATGCAGGTGTGCAGAAAGGTTTTTCTCCACAAGTTTAAAGCATTGTTCAGGGCCACGCCAGTGTGTTTGTACAATTTAGCCCATTTACTGCCACCCAGTTTCTAATGAATATCACAATGCTTTAGATATCTATCTAACTGTCTGGGCAGCTGTGGCTCCGGAGGTAGAGTGGGGCATCCACTTATCAGAAGGTTGGTGGATCCTCCTGCTGCAAGTGTCCTTAAGCAAGATACTGAACCTGTGCATTGGTGTGAAAGTACAGTCACTTTACCAATGTATTCGTTTCTACATCTGAGACAGGTAGTCTCTGTTTTACGGTCTCTATTTTTTGAAATTGTACCAGTATGACACTTGAGCTTCAGTGCCAATACAATACTTTTGTCAATACCTTAAGCAGGAAAACATACAATAAACATTTTTCATCTAATATTAAATGTGAAATGTTCTCGAGACACAAAGACACAAGAGACACAAAGACATTTAAGAACTTAAAATAATAATAATAATAAATAATAAAATTATTAAAAATTAAAAAAAAAACTATATATATATATATATATATATATATATATATACATACACACACACTATTGGAACATACTAATCCAGAGATCCCGGAGAGAACGGGTGAGAGAGAAAAGGTCAAACAAATATTTATATGTTTAGCTATAGGAACACACTAATCCAGAGATCCGGGATGAAAGAGCGAGAGAGGTCAAATGTTCCACACCTACTGACTGTCTGCACACAGCCCGGGAAGAGAGGTAGAGACCCCGGTGCTGCTGGCAGAAGAGCCGTGCACTGCGATTACTCTGAGCAGAAGGCATGGGGATGAATTACAATATATTTGAATTTATTTTTCTTCTTTTTTCTGATGGTCTCTTCTGATGTTTGTTGCAAGTTGCTTTTTAGAAATAAAGTCGCTATGAGAGTCTGAAAGGTTACTAAGCTCATGCCACCTCACATTTTTTTTTAAATTTGAACGGTTAAAATGCTATATTTCATGATTCGGAAAAGTAATAATTTAATTTGTAATTATACATTTCCATCCAACTAGAGCCCGACCGATATGGGGTTTTTGAGACTAATACCAATTTTATTATTGGGAATGATATGGGTTTAGTAGTCACTCTACACTAACAGGCCCTCTCTCATCAACAGCCTGTGGGCTCCGGCCTGGACGTATTCGAGGGGAGGCCCAAGCTGAGCGCCTGGCGGGACAGGGTCCAGGCCGCCATCGGGAAGGAACTGTTTGATGACGCCCACCAGATCATCCTGGGAGCCAGGGAGAGTGTGAAGCTAATGGACGACAGCAAGCTTCAGCTCTTCAAGCCCAAGATTCTCAAGTTATTCTTGTGAAGAGGAGAACGCCGGTTCTGTTCAAACTAGCTTAGCAAAGTTTCCTTCTCATTACATTATGTGTCACTGTTAGACGCGATTATATGGGACATGCATTCCCAGCTTATTGTACGAAGAACCCCTCTGTTGGAAAGTAAAAAGCACTAGGAGGTTTAGTATGATAGCATGTTATGTGCAGGATAGTGGGCCAAGGAGGCAGTCCTGGACTCATTGTGTACCATAGAGGAATGTGAAATGTGAGATAACTGCTCCTCTGAGAGCGGAGATATTTCCTGAATGCTTCACTGTGGACGTAGTTAGTTCATCAGCTGTGCTCTATCAGCCTTAATAAACAGTGTTTGTGTTTTTTAACCCAACTATGTTCTCTGTGTTTGTCACTTATGGTGATCAGTTGATCATACTGTAATTAATGGGCCTCATGTAAGAAGCAAAATACGAACACATTTTATCTTATTTTTGTTCGTATCCATGATTTGTACCCATTGCATTCTGGGATTCAATAATGTTTTCTTAGTTTTGCTCTTTTTTAATGACTGATTGAGAGCACTCACATCTAGTTTTCACTAGAAAGCAAGAAAACATTGGTCTTAAAGCTGCAGTAGGTCATTTTTATAAAACAATTCCATGTCATATTTGCTGAAACTTTCACTCTATCCTGACAGTACAACATGAGACAGATAATCT